TAAGTCACGTCCCCCAACCCCCTCAACATTTTTGTTACCCTCCGCTGGACTCTCTCCAATTTGTCCACATCCTTTCTGTAGTGGGGGCCCAAAACCAAATACAGTACTCCAGATGTGGCCTACCCAGTGCTGAATAGAGGAGAATAATCACTTCCCTTGACCTACTGGCAACAGTCTTCACTCTGTCTCTGTCTGTACAATAGATAGTATAACTTGTGGCATACAAATCCTGGTGCTTGGGTCTTCCAACACTGGAATTGCTTTTAGGAAGCAATGAAGTGATATATACTGTTCAGAGAATTATTATGTGACAAAATAAACAATTAGTGAAATAAATAGTTGAGATTTTTGACCATGTATCTTCTCTCAGATGGTACCAAGGCAGCAAAAAGCAGTACGTGAACACAGTTGTTTCCTATTATGGTATGCCCTGCCTGTTCCTTACACCAAGACGAAAAGGCCTGCCATAGGGTGGGCACTTAACGTCTGACTAAATGTCTTTCAACAAGCTAAGATGATAAAATAGAGAAGGGAACATTCTTCAGTCTGTCTCTACAACAGATAGTGTAACTTGTGCCATACAAATCCTGGTGCTTGGGTTTTCTGACACTGGATTTGCTTTTATGAAGCAATCACCTTAGCTGCTGCCTCCCGAGTCTCTATTTAAGTGACCTTGTCTCTCCAAAGAATGCTCCTTCCCTTAAACAAGCAGCCGGCATCTTACCCACTGGCTATTTGTCCCATTGCACTAGAGTAGATGCTGATACCAACCACCTGCTTTGTAGCCTGCATTTCCAGATCACCTTGGAAAAAAGTGTACATGTTCTCCTTGCTGTATCTAGGTTTGACATGGGCCCATGGGGAAAAGCATCTATCTTAACTGAACCCTCCTTGACCACTGCCACAATGGGCTCCTGCAGGGAACAAAAGCAGGACAAAAACCACCCTTTGGAACTTTCCCTCAACAAGCATATAACTGTTTATAACTCAAACCACCCTAGCTTTTTATAGGATACTCAGAATTTTTTCTGGGCACCTGAAAAATCTTTCGTATTGCTATACAAAATGTTTATATATTATCATAAAGCATTTGTTCAAATTGTGTTACAATAAGAATTAGAATTTGCTGTGTTTATCAGGAACAAACACGCCAGTGACGGGAAGTTTAATGTGATGAAGTACTGTTACAAGATGCTCTCAAAGCTGGGAGTTTTTCTGGTTTGTTTGTGTTGCTCAGGGTGCATGTTACATTTGTCAGGGTTTCATGATTTACTTACTCAGAACACTATGTTTCTATAAGCAAGTCTCAAGTAAGAGAAATACACATATGCTGCTGTGGAAGGAGAAGTGGAAGTAGTGGCAAACAGCACCTTTTTTTTTTTAAATATGTACTTCTGCCTTTTGTAAAACTATTTTACCAACACAAAAATATGTTATGTTCCGTAGCTCTGACTTGAAGGAGGTATATAGCATGCCTTAGTTAGGAAGCATTTGAATGGCTATTTGAATGCTTTTTGTATTTGTTTTTGTGTATTTCTGATAGAAAACCCATGAATATGGTGTGGGGCATAACAGCATAAGAAGGATCCTCCTTCAAAATGGTGCAGAAAGATTTCTAAAGTTTCTGCTGTGTGCAACTATATTATATTACTGTCCCAGATAAAAGAATAATGCACAAAACATTTGCCCATGTATGCAGGGTAGACAACATTGTAGCCTTGGTACCTATACCAGAAAGTGGCTCTCCACTGTTTAGTAACACCTCACTGACTGCAAATTATATCATTCTGTAAGAGTTTAAAAGATGAGGCAGAGGCATGTTCCTGAAAGTATGGTCATTTGCTATCCCAACATGGGCCATCACATATATGGAGCTAGAGGCAGAGCTCTTGTCCTGGTAATACTGTGAAAACAGTCACTTTTATAGTTTTTTCCTTTGCAGTGATACTGCTTTAGGTTGTGTTGATAGGATAAAAAGTCAGTAAGAATAAGATTTAGATTACATTATGAAACACTTCTTAATTCTTTGAAACTAAAGCAGTTTTATCACTGCTCTTGTTCCATACATGTTGGTTCATTTTTAATATCAAACAACTAATTTGATACAAACAGTCAGCAATTCAAAAAAATATCAGTCTTCTCTGAGTACTTACAATCATCAGGCAAAACTTCTTTGAACTGTTCAAAATATGAATTCAACCGAACCAAGCTCTCCATATTAATTACTTCTTGTAATGAGGTGTCTCCAAACCTTTAAAGATGAAGAGGGGTATAACATTAGCTAGAGACATCTTTTGCAACAACTGACTTCATTTGACAAGTAAGTCTGAGCAGGAGACTTAAAGATTCATCCTAAGAAATTCCAAAAAGTCCAGATTTCCACCTGGATAGTGATTAGATCAGCATGAAAACCAGTGATATTTATTACATGCATGGGTGTAGGTGTGGATAAAAACAATTAACATTAAACTCTTTTGGCTTCTCTATCTTTCTTCCAATATTAAATGTTAACTTATTTGGAAAAGTCTAAAAATATTTTTTTTGGTATTTATAATATCATTTGAAACTTCTGATTCTCTTGCTATAAGCTTATAAAAGGACTTCAAACAGAGAATAAAGGAGGTGGCTGTGACCAATAGCATGTGATTAGGAGATATGGGCAAGAAGAGGTTAAGAACTCAATGTTACTGCAATAGCAACACAATGATGAGGGAATATATTTGGGTTTAGAGGCAATTGGTGACTGCTTCTGTGCT